TTTCTTTCTCGATCAGAACACACTCAAATCAAATGGGTTCATCATCACTGAATTCATCCATGTAGGCTCGAAGCTTGGACAAATCGACTATGCCCATCAGTTGTTCGACGAATTTCCCAACCGACATGTTTTCCGGTGGAAAGGCGAGTCATACCTCCCGTCACAGAGGTCGATGCCGCCTACAAAACTCACAATCCTTCTCTTGTTTGATTGCCCGCTCGGCAAATCACTAACGACCACAACAATTCTCTGGTGATGGGTGAACATGGTCGAAATCTAAAGGTGTACACGGACCAACCCGTGATGTATATCAGGTGCTTAGTATTTGTGATGGCATCAAAAACGTCATCCCAGCATCTGTGCGGCTCATAGTAAATTCCCCCGAGGGATGAAGTTATCCGGAATTTGAGTGTCCTGGTATAGGAGACACGATTATTTGTTCTTTGGGAGAAGAAAGTGTACAGGACACCAGGGTATTTGGCACTCTTGATCCCGCGGTCCCAGTTGCGGTCACGAGAGACGTCGAATAACTGAATCTTCACGTGGATCTTGGATTCTCGCTTATCGGGTTTTTGTTCTCGTCAAGTATCTCAACCCACCAGTCGATTTCTTCGGCGTCCAAGAGCTCGTCGATAGGCACACATGCCCTCCCGATTAGAGTGGCACCAATCGGGTTGTCATCCTTGACCGTGAATATGACGTTGGATGCATTGTGGGCACAGTAGATGTGGAAGCACGGTCTCCTCGGTATTGGCAATAATCCACAGACAAATACTCAAGCACAATGTAACGAATGACGTGTTCGCACAAAAAAAGGCTTCTGTCCTTTTATGTCCGGTTGCGAAGAAAATGGTCGCGCACGTGTTGTTTCCGAGGAAGGGCTGGTTTTAACGCATGAGTTCATTTTGAATCATTGCATAATTGCTTGACCTGATTTCAGAAAGCACATTTATCTCAAAACTTGGGAACACATTTCGTCGGCAGATTTGCATCTTCATGAAAAAAAAAATAAACAAATACCTTATGAGCATTTGTGACAAGAGATAACTTGTGCTTATCAGACTAATCCTATCAACAGTGTATTTCATAAGGCAATATTTAGCAAATGGGTTATAAAAGATCTTTCATTTGTTCGTTTAGCCTTTTCTTGATTAATCGGTTATTACCATTGTATACGTGAATTTTGATTGAAGTCGTTTGGATTGATGTATTCTAAATGAAAGGAAAATTGTATGTTGGAACATTTTATTGCTCTCTCGCTCGCTCGTGCTTGTAACACTTTATGGGGCAGTTGACAATTTTGAAATGAAGCATGTGGTATGTTGTGCAGAACATTAAAAACAATTAAAAAAATAATAAAATGAAAAATAAATCAAAACATATAAAATAAAGCATGTGGTATGTTGTGCTAGTATAAGAGAGGAGCCGTAATTGACAGCCCACCCGAAGAGAAGTAGACATAATTTACAAGCTACAACACAACAAATCATGAGATGTTTGGCAGCTAACGCTTCGATGGAGTTGGTGCTAAAACAGAGGAAACTGCTAGTATCCAAAGATGATCAGGGGGCCTCAAATGCTAGGGCTGGCCCAGTGGCCACATACATTGCCGCTAGGAACGAAGGTCTGACCACCACTGGAAGAGATGCTCCCTAGGCTAGGAACGACAGGTGAAAGAAACTTACAGGATAATCAATAAGCCTAGACTAGAATATTCTTCATTTAAATAAAAGACTAAATCAATTCATTCTCATTTCTTAATAACCATTCTGCCAGCACAGTTACAAAAGATCTTATAAAAAAAAATTAATCAACAGGAAAAAAATGACTACCGTCTAAAGAAAATAAACTGATTGATTGCTAACATACTAACATAAACAAGTCAAAAGCACATAAACCAATATAATGGCGCAACCCACATTCTTCAGATATACCAAAAATAAGATTAAAATTTAAAAAGGCAAAAGTTAGGAAAAAACTGAACAAGAAATGAAAAATAGAAAATTAAACACATATCCTTTATTCCAAAGCCTAGCAATCAAATTCTACATTAAAAGAAAAACCACCTTAGAGGCCTATCGAAATATATTATCCAAGACCGACAAGTCGGGGCATTTGCGCCTATCATGGCCAATTCGATGACAGAAACTACATGTTCGGGAACTCTGCAACATAGATTTTTCGTTTCCTGATTTTAGACGCTTGCCACAACCTATGTACGTACAGGCTCAGGGTCGCTTACTCGAACAACCTCATCCCCACTTTCTATTATGCTCGAAGGTTTAATTGTGCATTCTTCTACAACAATTCCACCTATCTCAATCTTCAAAACTTTGACTTTTTCCATAAGCAATTTGCTCCTGGCCTCTGTCAACGATGCTTCTTCTATGAGCTCTCGTGCTAATTTCATCAATGTCCCGCGTCTACCTAGGATAGACTGGCCTGCTACAAGATTATGTGACGTTGCATAAATAAGGTTGTTCCTTGCATTCTTTGTCCATCGTTCTTTAATGTACTTTTTCGGTACGAGCATCACTTGTTCGACCCTCATCCAACATAGCATGTGTCGGAAAAGAAATCCTTCAAACTCAAAGTGTTTACAACTACAAGTTATAAGATCCTCGGACACATGATATATTAAATGACGCCGATGTTGATTTCTCTCTTCCATATCAAACCGCCAAACCTCATAAATGTGGCTTTCACTTTTGCTCGTCATCATTTTGCATATGTAGCTTGAATTCTTCTCAAATTCGGCCTGAAACAATAAAAATATGGTTTTCGTGTAGATCTCAGCCATTTTCTTTTCAACTGCAAATGTAGTGTTGATCCTCAGTTTCTCATGAAAATCGACGTGGCCAGCCATCAACTCTTCATGTCGTTGGTGTGCAATAGCCCTGCTAAAACGTGTGAAAAAGTCATTCAATAAGCATTTCTTGTCTAGGTACCTCTTGAAGAACGCATGATTGCTCTCAACACGCTGGCTACTTGACATACCGGCAGAGAAGACATATTTTATGTAAGCCGAAACCCAACGATGTCGAATTTCATACATTTTGGATAACCAATCATTAGCACTCAACTGAGAATCATTCATCAACGAATTCCACCTGCACTCAAACTCGGTCGGACTCTCCGAATCATTAATAATTTATGATAAACTATGGTGATGCAGCTTATGAACAATGGGACCGAGTTTCTCTGAGAACTTGTTTAGTATATGCCAAATACAATACCTATGAATAGTATTTGGAAATACCTCACTCACAGCAAGAGATATAGCAGCGTCTTGATCAGTTATAATGATCATTGTTGGATGAGGTTGGTTCGGCATTGCTTCTATGAATTTAGTGAATAACCACACAAAAGACTCGTTATTTTCATCACTAAGCAACCCGACCCCAAATACCGTTGTCTGCCTATGATGATTAACACCAACAAAGGGTGCAAACACCATTCTGTACTTGTTTGTGTTATACGTAGTATCAAAGACAACTGCATCACCAAATAATGCATACGAGTTTCTTGAGTCGCTATCAGCCCAAAAGCACCTCATGAAAATTCCCTCACCATTTGTCTCATAAGCGTAGAGAAAATTCTCGTTCCTTTCCTTTTCCATTTCAAATTGTTGAATCAATGTGTGCGCATCATGTTTATTTAATTCAGCCTTATGCGCAGCTTCTTCATTCCTGATATCCTTCTCCAAACATCCCATCATGGACGGACCCCCAACATCAATCTCAAACAACCTAACTTGTTGGCAGGTTGGAATGTTTGTCTCTCTATACTCTTGCATTAGTGCTCTTTTCGTAGTCGACGCACCACGATGAGATCTAAGCAAATGAACCTTCCTAGGGGTAACCAGTGGATGATTATGTTGTTCTATGAAATACTTCACAACCCAAACCTCTTTGACTCTGCAAACACTCATCCGAACTACACAACCACATCTCGTCTCTCCCCTTTTCCTTTCCCCTGTTCGAACCTCAGCATATTTGCGTTTATTTTTGCAGAATTCATTTGTTTTCCTTCCTTCGAGCAAGTGAACATCTTCCGCACAAATGCATTGGTTTGTTTATTTTTTTTGCAATTTTGAGTATGAGTGCTAAAGCCTGCTTTTTTGGCATACGTACTGTAGAAATCACGAGCCTCTTCCCACGTCTGAAATTCCAAACCTTCATGGGACACCTTGGCCTGATCGACTTGAGTAGTAAACTCTTGGTCGTCTTGTTCGACCTGCATTCCTATAGAAAATAACAATAATCCATTCATTCTAGTGATAGTTTTCAATCCATTCATATAACATGTTTATTTTACAAAAACTCTTACATTAGCCAAAAAAAACCCTTAGAAATAATATAAATCTTACCAATGGATCATGAGTAAATTCTTTGTTCGCCTATGTTCACTCTTTAACCGTTGTGTTTAATTGAGAAGATTTTTTGAATAAGTAGTGATTAACTGAGAAAATATCTTTTGAAGGAGAAGACGGATGAAAGAATAAAAGATACGGCGATCAGAAAAGAAAGGAGAGAAAATATTTCTCTTTAAATTATTATTAACAAAGGATTAACACAAATAATTATTAATTAATGTAACTTAATTCCACTTAGATGCCATGTAGGCAACTGACTCATACAATTTCAAAACTAATGTGGTAACAAGGAGCAACCATTGTAGTTCCCATTCAAAGCGGACCACTGCTGCCCAGTAGCTAACACATGATGAA